CCCGCCACCGGCCCCCGCCTCCACAGAGCGCTCCCCACACCGGCCCATCCTGCAGGCGGGGCTGCCGGCGAACCAGACGGCGGTGCTGGGCAGCGACGTGGAGTTCCACTGCAAGGTGTACAGCGACGCCCAGCCGCACATCCAGTGGCTGAAGCATGTGGAGGTGAACGGCAGCAAGGTGGGCCCGGACGGCACGCCCTACGTCACCGTGCTCAAGGTGGGCGCCGCGGCCGGGGAGGCAGGGGGCCACGGGGAGGGAAGCGACGGCACGCCCCCCCGTCACGGCAGGCGCCATGATGGGGAGCGGGGAGCTACAAGGGGGAGAAGGGTTGGAGGGAGCTATGGGGGGAAGGGCAGGGGCGAGCTGGGGGGAAGGGCAGGGGAGCTGCGCTCCAGCACTCCTCACCCCTGCTCTGGGCCGTGCACAGCTCCCAGCTGTGCCTCTCGAGGTAGGATGCATTTCCCTCTTTGCCCTGAAGGCGGCGCCACAGCTTGGGCGGGGCCTGCCGAAGCCCCGGGGGTGGCTAAGCACTGGGTGGCGCTGGCTCTCTGCCGGTGCGGTGGCTTTGTCCACGGCCACGGAAGGCGTCCTGAGTTGGGACGGCTGGAACAGGGAAAGCAGAGACACGTGGTCAGTTGGTGGGGAACGGCACAGAGATAGTCATGGGGGGCCACGTGGAGGCCCTGCCCGTGCCTCCCGCCACCCCCGGGCTGGGCTGGCCGGACCCCGGCGGTGGGTGGGCGCCTGTCGAGGCCGGCCTCAGGGCTTGGGGCTTGGTTGTGAGGGTGGACAGGAGGAAGCTCACCCCTTGAAGCCACGCCTGCCACCACCCTGCCGTGTCCCTGTGCCCAGCACCCAGCCGGCCCTCCCGCGGGTCCCCCAGGCCTGCCTTCCCCGCCGGGGCCGGCTCGAGGGCCTGCCTGAGCCGGGTCTCTTGTCCCCGCAGTCCTGGATCAGTGAGCATGTGGAGGCCGATGCGCGCCTCCGCCTGGCCAATGTGTCGGAGCGGGACGGGGGCGAGTACCTCTGTCGGGCCACCAATTTCATAGGCGTGTCTGAGAAGGCCTTTTGGCTGCGCGTTCACGGGCCCCGCGCAGGTAACCACTCTGTCCCATGCCTGCTTGGCAGCCGAGCTCCGCGCCAGCGCCGGCTGTGTGTCTGCCTGCACGCTGCACGCCCCGCACGCCCCTCCTGCCAGCTCCCGCCTGCCACTCCTGCTCCTCCGCGGCCGCCTGGCAGCACTGAGAGCCCTGCCCATCACTGTGACCGCCTGCTTCCGGCCCGGGCCGGCGCCCGCACCCCCTGCACCCCGTGGGCATTCCCGCAAGGCCCCAGGGCCGCTGGGGGCTGAGCCCACGCCACCTGCTGAGCATCCGCCTCCCGCCCCTCCCCTGCCGTGGACTCTGCTCCCTGCTCACCTCCCATCCGTCCCTCCGTCCCCATCCTCCCTCACCCCCCTTCTCCACTAACCTGCATGCCGCCTGGGCTGGCACGTGCTGCCCGCGCACCTCGCGCTCACCCGGGACAGAGGACTCGCCGGTGGAGGGGCCGGCTTCAGGCTGGGGGCCCATGCACGTGGCAGGGCCCTGGCCCACTGGACCAGCGGCCGCGCGCGCCAGGGCCTGTGGTGGCGGCCGAGGTGGTGGTGGCGCGGCGTTTTCCTTACAGCCTGGCTGGATCCTCACCGTGCGGACTGTGCCGCGGTGCGCGGGAGTGGCGGCGCTCGCCTAGCGCTCTGTCCTCTCTTTGTAGACCGCGGGCGCTAACACCACGGACAAGGAGCTAGAGGTTCTGGCCTTGCGCAATGTCACCTTTGAGGATGCGGGGGAGTACACCTGCCTGGCGGGCAATTCTATCGGGTTTTCCCATCACTCTGCGTGGCTGGTGGTGCTGCCAGGTACTGGCTCCTGCTGCTGCTTGTTCTGCACCTGTCCTCTCGGGGTGCTGGCTCAGGATCTGCCGAAGCTGCCAGGGGGGCCAGGGAACCCCACTGCTCCTGTCTGCTGGGGGGACACGACTGGCCCTAGCCTGGTCCTGCGGGGTCTTCCTTCCCGCTCCCGGCAGCCCCACGGCTCCCCTGCAGCTCTGGCATCTCCTGGCATCGGGTGTTGGTGTGGGTGCTGTTGGCTCTGCTGGCTCCTTCTTTCCTGGGTCTGGCTCCTCCTGACTGACGTGTCTGAAGCACCAGGGCGACCAGGGGTGCTGAGGCAAAGGCACCCGCTCTGAGCCCCCCGGCCTCCTTCCCCTGCCGGTGCCTGTGGCTCTGGCCCCGGGCTCCCACCGGAGAGGCTGACCCGGCCTCAACGCCCTGTCTTTGCAGCAGAGGAGCTGGTGGAGGCGGACGAGGCTGGCAGCGTGTACGCAGGTATCCTCAGCTACGGGGTGGGTTTCTTCCTCTTCATCTTGCTGGTGGCCACCGTGACGCTCTGCCGCCTGCGCACCCCCCCGAAGAAAGGCCTGGGCTCCCCGGCCCTGCACAAGGTCGCCCGCTTCCCGCTCAAGCGACAGGTAACAGAAAGTAGATACCAGGTTTCCAGCAGCCTGTCTGCCTGCCCGGCCTCCCCCCTTCCCTCCCCCCTCCCCACGCCCCCTTCCCTCCCCCCTCCCCCGCCCCCTTCCCTCCCCCCACCCTCACTCCATCTTTGCCTTGGGTCCTTCAAGGTGAGGGGGGAACCATGGCGTCCAGGGCCGAGGCTCTGCCAGATGCCTTCTCTGCTGTCTAGTGTCCACCCCCCCGCCCCCCCTAATTGTGTTTTCCACATGCAGCCTAAGTAACTGGACAACGTGAGGCCTGGTGCCCTGCCCGTCCGTGGGGCTGCTGTCTTTGGGGGTCTCCCCGCCCTGCACCCATTGCATGGCACCAACCTTTCCCTGCCGACCCAAGCAGGTGTCCTTGGAGTCCAGCTCGTCCATGAACTCGAACACGCCGCTGGTCCGCATTGCCCGGCTGTCCTCAGGAGACGGCCCCGTGCTGGCCAACGTCTCTGAGCTGGAGCTGCCTGCTGACCCCAAGTGGGAGCTGTCCCGGGCCCAGTGAGTGAGCCCTGCGGAGGGACAGGAGGGGTCCGGGCCCAGTGAGTGAGCCCTGCGGAGGGACAGGAGGGGTCCGGGCCCAGTGAGTGAGCCCTGCGGAGGGACTGGCGGGGTCCAGGCCCAGTGAGTGAGCCCTGCGGAGGGACTGGCGGGGCCCGGGCGGCGGCGGCAGGAGCAGCGGTCCCATGGGCTCTAGATGGAAACTGGGTGGGTTGAGGGCCTTGGGAGACACGGCCCCTCCGGGGGCCTGTCCCGAGGGCACGGCACCTGGGCACCAGACCTGGGGCCGCCCTCAACCTGTGAGCAAGCGCATGGGGCCGGCCTGGGGGGGCTTCCTGCTTGGCGAGGCTGACCTTCAGCCCCTGCCCCGTCCAGGCTGACCCTCGGCAAGCCCCTCGGGGAGGGCTGCTTCGGCCAGGTGGTCATGGCGGAGGCCATCGGCATTGACAAGGACCGCGCTGCCAAGCCCGTCACGGTGGCTGTGAAGATGCTGAAGGGTGAGTGGGAAGCCAGCGTGGGCACTGCATGGGCTCGGGGTCCCGCTGACACCCACCTTCTGCACAGATGACGCCACTGACAAGGACCTATCGGACCTGGTGTCTGAGATGGAGATGATGAAGATGATCGGCAAGCACAAGAACATCATCAACCTGCTGGGGGCCTGCACGCAGGGAGGTAGGCGCGGGCCCGCTGGGCGGCCGGGCAACCCCTGGGCACCGGTGCCCCTCTAAGCCACCTGTGTCCCCAGGGCCCCTGTACGTGCTGGTGGAGTACGCGGCCAAGGGCAACCTGCGGGAGTTCCTGCGGGCGCGGCGGCCCCCGGGCATGGACTACTCGTTTGACGCCTGCCGGCTGCCCGAGGAGCAACTCACCTTCAAAGACCTGGTGTCCTGCGCCTACCAGGTGGCCCGGGGCATGGAGTATCTGGCCTCCCAGAAGGTGTGTGACGGGACCAGGGGGAGACGGGGCGCCGGGGGCCAGTGGGGAGGGGCTCAGCTGTGGTCTCTGTTCTCCCAGTGTATCCACAGGGACCTGGCCGCCCGGAACGTGCTGGTGACCGAGGACACCGTGATGAAGATCGCGGACTTTGGCCTGGCCCGCGATGTGCACAATCTTGACTACTACAAGAAGACCACCAACGTGAGCCCCGGCCTGGGCGGGTGGGCGGGCGAGCCCCAGCTGGGGGACGTGGCCACCAACACGCCCCACTCTCACCCCCAGGGCCGGCTGCCTGTCAAGTGGATGGCACCAGAGGCCCTATTTGACCGTGTCTACACCCACCAGAGTGACGTGTATGTGTCCCATGCGGGGTGGGCACTCGGGGCACCTCGGGGGCAGGGCGGTGCTGCCCTGGCACCAAGGGCCGCAGCCTCCCTGGCCCCACCGCACCCTCGGTGCACAGCGTGCCCTGCGGGGGAGGGGGCCCGAGGGAGCAGCCGGGTGCCAGCCGCATGACCTTGCTTGTGCACTGCAGCTGGTCCTTTGGGGTCCTGCTGTGGGAGATCTTCACGCTGGGCGGCTCTCCGTACCCGGGGATCCCCGTGGAGGAGCTGTTCAAGCTCCTGAAGGAGGGCCACCGCATGGACAAGCCAGCCAACTGCACGCACGACCTGTGAGCAGGCCCACCGCCCTGGGGCCCCGGCCCCTGCCCTGTGGTGGATCCACCAAAGCGGGTGTGGGGGGGCAGCACCCTGGGGCCAGCCACACCTGAGCACCCCCGCCGCCAGGTACATGATCATGCGGGAGTGCTGGCACGCCGCGCCCTCCCAGAGGCCCACCTTCAAGCAGCTGGTGGAGGACCTGGACCGCATCCTCACCGTTACCTCCACCGACGTGAGTGCTGCCAGCCTGTCGCGCTCCCACACGGCCGTCCCCAGGTCCCTGGGCCCCCGGGTCCCTGGGGCAGGCCCTCGGGCACCGCCGGGCCCTCACCAGCCCACTGCCCACAGGAGTACCTGGACCTGTCGGTGCCCTTCGAGCAGTACTCACCAGGTGGCCAAGATACCCCCAGCTCCAGCTCCTCGGGGGATGACTCTGTCTTCACCCATGACCTGCTGTCCCCAGCGCCACCCAGCAGCGGGGGCCCTCAGACCTGAAGGGCCGGCCCTGCAGGCCGAGCCCCCCACTGTGAGATTGCTGCTGGTGTGAACGGGCCGCCGGCCCGAGCCTGGCACCGACAGGCAGGCCAGGCTGTGCCCCGTGCCTGCACACACGCGGGTTCCGGCGTTGGGTGCAGATGCCCCCGGAGCCTCTGCTGCTGTCCAGTAGCCTCCTGACTGGCCAGAGCCAGGAGCCCCGGGGGCCCTAATTCCAGGGGCACCAAACGTAGAATGTGCCATCCTTGGGGGAGGGCCGGGCTCTGTGTTCAAGGTGGACCTCGGCCCTCCAGTGCCCAAAGCTGAGCCTGCAGGGGGGCCACGTGCCGTGAGCCTCCCGCCTGCACGCAGCACCTGCGCCAGGAAGCGAGTCTCCCCGCTGCCCACCCCGCCCCTCAGAGACTGAAATTACGGGTACCTGGAGGGAGGCTTTACCTTCTGAAAGGTTTATTCCAGAAGCAAGTGTACATTTATATAAATAGATGTGTATATGATGGATATATATATACATGCCCATATATATATATAATATATATATTATATATATATATATAAAGAGTATCTATGTGGGAGAGGCTGAGGCCTGAGAGCAGGCCCTGTGGGGCCTCACTGGAGAGACAGAGAAGAGGGGCAAGGAGCATTTCTGGTGCCACAGTTTTGTTTTAAAAATTGTACCTGGACCTGTATATGTGTAAAGCTATTTATCAGCCCCAGAGCCCCGCCCTCCACGCGCATTCGTAGTGTTCAGCCAGCTGCGTGGCAGATTCCAATGTTAACTTATTAACACCTGCATTTGAGGGGTCGCCTAGAATGTACGTCCAGCCCCCACCAGGGCTGAGGCCCCTCGGACTAAGTGGCCTTCATCATTAGAGGCGGTCAGTGAGCACTTCATTTCCTTCTGGCCGTCTTTGGCAGGGGAGTTAGACTTCCATAGGATTTTTCTTTAGGAGATGTATTTTTTCAAACTCAAAGCAAGCTGGTATTTTCCTACAGATTCTTCTAATTATTGTGTGTTCCCAGCAGGTGCCGGCCTGCACAGCCGCAGATGTTATTAGATGTTACTAGATGTTACAAGTTTATATATCTATATATATATCTATATATATAATTTATTGAGTTTTTACAAGGTGTATTTGCTGTAGACTTAACACTTCTTACGCAATGCTTCTAGACTTTAATAGCCTGGATTGCTACTTTCAAAGCTTGGAAGAGAAAGCCGTGAATTCAGTTTTGTTACTTTTTGTACTGTTAATGGGCCGCAGGCTCCGGTCTCCTGCTCGCCAGCCAGGGCAGTGGCCAGGGCGGCTCTTCCCGGGGCCTGGATGCATAGTTTGTCTACCCACACGGGAGATGTGATATTTGTTAACCTAGCCTGTGTACTTCCCCAAAATAAAGAGACGACCGGTGCCACCTCCTGCCCGCCTTTGCCTTCTTCCTGGGTCCCCGCGGCTCTGCTAGTGTTGACGGGCTCTGGGGTCTGTCCCGAGAGGACAGCTATGAGGCCAGGGGCAGCTGCCACGTCCCCAATGGAGGCGCTGGTGTCCAGCTCCAGGGAGCTGAGCGCCTTGCCCCGAGGGCCTGTCCAGACCCTGCCCAGGTCTGCAGCTGCTGCAGGGGCCCGGCATCAGCCAGGGAGCAGCCTGGGACTCTGTGGACAGCGAGGCACAGGTGCTCTGAGTGCCCAGCTCCTTGGGACCGTGGGACTTGGGGGTCATGCCCAGGCCCCCGTCGTGTGATGCATCCAGCCTCGGGGGAGAAGGGGGCTGTAGTTGAGGCCCCATACGGAGCGGCCCTGGCCAGTTCCCCACCCCAAGCCCAGGTCCACAGTGCCCCAGTGGCGCCTGTGTCTCACGCAGACGTGCTGGACCCGGCACATCCAGGACAGATGGGGCAGCTGTGCCGGGACAGTGAGCTGGAGCGGGGAGGGGGTCTGCAAAAGCAGACCAGAGACCCGGGCGGCGCTAGGCAGCGCCCCGCTTGCTTCTCCCAGGTTTCACCCGTCTTGGGACAGGGCCACTGGGAGCCCCGCTCTCCAGGCGAGGAGACTTTCTGGATGGACAGGGTGGCCAGGGCTTTGGCGGTGGGCATCTGGCACTCCAACCTAGACCTCGCCAGGATGCAGTTTGAAGGGGCCCGCAGGCTGGCTGGTTCCCCTCGGAGATGCCTCAAGCCCCCGGCCCTGCCCAGAGGCTGGCACAGCCATGCAGTTACCTGGTGAGGGGCCAGGGCGGGGCAGGCCCCTGGGCGGAGCAGGCCCCGGGGTGGAGCAGGCCCCGGGGCGGCAGGCACTGCAGAGGCCAGCAGCTGGGGTGCAGTGCATGGACACCAGTCGGGGTGGGGCGGGGAGGCAATGGTTGGCAGGCTTAGGTGGAGGACATGCTCCCAATCCGGTTGGCCTCTGCCTGGGCGGGCAGTGTGGGCTGGGCGCGCCCTCTAGTGTGCTGAGCCAGTCCTGTCCCAGCTGAGCCCTTGAGTGCCTGCTCTGGAGATGAACGACAGCCAGAGCCAGATGCCTTGCTCTCCACGTGAGCAAGGAGAGCGCCCAGGATCTAAGAACACGGGCTCTGACCTGCTCCCCGGTCTGTAACGGTCCTGGCTTTCCCAGGAAGGCTCTGCCTTTCGGCCATGTGCGGTGGCACTTAGTCTATTGGCTCTGGACAGCCAGCACAGGGGAAAGAAACCTCTAGCCTGATACCAGCCAATGGCTGTGGTTCCCAGGGCCGTGTGAATCCCAGGATTCCCAGGGCTGTCAGCTGCCCCAGAAGGCAGGTAAGCTGCCTTTTCTGTGTCCAACAACCCATTCTCACAGGCAGAAACAGACATAACTGGTCCAGCCCTGAGGTTTTCTTTTAATCATTCAGGAATCACTTCGTGGCTAAGTGGAGTGTGGTGGCTCACACCTGTCATCACAGCACACAGGGGGCCGAGGAGGGAACACAGGGGAGGGGCAAGTGCAAGGCCACCCTGGCTAGTCTCACCTTTGCTGCACACACCAGCTCTCACGGCTGGCAGATGTCCCATCCTCGCTGCGGGAGGGGATGCTCAGGCTGGCTCTCCCACAGCCGGCCCTGGCATTTTGTGAGCTGAGCACTTGAGGCTTTGAAAGAAACTAACAAAGAAGAGGAATAGGCCCACATCCAGGCCCACCCTTGGCCAGTGCTTCAGGCCTGCTCAGCCCAGCTGGCCACCCCGGTGACCCAGGCCACAGCCCCCAGAGACTAGGGGCCCAAGTGGGCTCAGATCTGACCTCAGGAACCACTGTCAGCATGAATGCTGATGCAGGGTGAGGCTTCTGGATATGCCCTAGCACTGTGGCTCGGGGAGGGCAGTCTGTCCACTGAGGAGATGGACACCATGTCTGTCCTGCTGCCTAGACCCTCCCCGCCAAGCCACCCCCAGCTGGAACCTGAGGGAAGAGTCCGAAGGCTAACCCCACAAAGCCCTCTGCACAATCTCAGGACCACTGGGTTCTGCTATGGACTACTACTGTACCTCCAAGGAAACCTCCTGGCCAGGACAGACCCATCACCTCCCCAGAGGTCAGGACAGACCCATCGCCCCCCAGAGGTCAGGACAGACCATCACCCCCCAGAGGTCAGGACAGACCCATCACCCCCCAGAGGTCAGGACAGACCATCACCCCCCCCAGAGGTCAGGACAGACCATCACCCCCCAGAGGTCAGGACAGACCCATCACCCCCCAGAGGTCAGGACAGACCCCCCACCCCCCAGAGGTCAGGACAGACCCATCACCCCCCCGGTCAGGGGCCCCAGGCGTGTTTCAGAAGCCTGGCCTGGGTGAAGGCCCTGCCTCTGTAGCACAGCCGGGCACTAAGATGTCTGGGCTCCAGGGCTCCTTGAGCCTTAGGAGGCAAGCACCTGGCAGGTGCCCAGGCCACCAACCTAGACCAACATCACAGGCAGCAAGTCACCAAGTGGCACTTTATTAAATCACCGCCTTACAGTGAACCGTCTAGAAAACATCATCACCAGGCAGTCTGACACAGTGGACTCCAGCTGCAGCGAGCCGGCCTGGTGTCCCAGGTTGCGCAACACCAGGGTCCCCTCAGGCCACAGCAGGGTCCCCCCAAGGAACCTGAGCACTCAGCATGGAGCCCACAGCCCAGAACAAAATCAAGTGATTTCGTCTCTAACTGCCCTTCTCCACAGACTCAGGTATTACTTTGAGCTGCTGCAGGAACGTAGGCTTGATGTTCTAGTTTTTTAAAAGCAAACAAACCCGTCTCTAAAGAGCAGCTGACACACGGCCCAGGCCGGAGCGGGCGGCACACGATTTGCCCTGTTGCGGCACGCCACCAGCGCGGCGTGGGTGGCCTGAGACCGGGTGGGGGCCGCTGGGGAAGGCACTGCGTGTGGGGAGTCCCAACACCCGGCCCGCCCTCCCGAACCCCTGCGGGAGAAGCAGGTGTTCCCGGGGACGGAGGCAGCGCCCGGCTTCCTGTTCAAAGGGCACGGACACCCCACCCCTGGCCAGGCACAGGGCAGCCGCAGACGGACGGCTGAAGCACCTGCCAGACTGAACCTAACCAGGACCCGTGTCCTCTGCATCCCCCGACATGGATGCAGCCTCCGGAGGGAGGCTGAGCACATGAAGCAAATGCGGGACAAGGGGCAGAAAGCCTCTGAGACCCAAAAGGCACCCCTAGACCTGCCGTCTTAGGAGGGTGAGAGCAGGCCGGCCCCAGCCTCCGGGGAGGGAACAGCGACAGAGCAGGAGGCCCCCGAGGACGGGAGCACCCACGGCGACGGACGTGCCTGGGGCCACAGGAAGCCTTCTCCTCTGCGGGGGAATTGGCAACCACAAAGCCGGCGCTCAACAAGCAGCAGCCGGACACTAGGAAACGCCACGGGAGCAGGGGGCAAGGTCATGGACGCAGAGCGTGGACATGGGCCCTCCTTCCTCAGGGACAGCGCCTGTCAGGCCCCGCTGCTGATGCACCCCACTCATAGGTGAAGGAGATCATGCTCCAATTGTGTCAGTAGCCAAGAACAAAGTGAACTGAGAATGCATCACTTTTGGGTGCTTCTCTGTTTCCCAGCTAATTCAGAGGCCCCATGCATCCGTTCCTATGTCTTCCAGATTCCTATGGCTTAAGTCCCCCTAAAGGACATGCTTTTATTTTACTTTTTAGTTTCCTTAGTGCTGGTCCTGGGGCTGGAGCTCAGGGCCTGGCGCTGTCCCTGAGCCTTTTCACTCAAGGGTGCTCTACCACTTGAGCTACAGCTCTACTCTGGCCTTTTGGTCTTACAGACTTTCTTGTAGGCTGGTTTGAGCCGAGATCCCCAGTCGCTAGGATCCCCGGCTTGAGCTACAGCACCTGGCTTCCTCAACAATGTTTTTTGGTGGGTTTTTTTGTTTGTTTGTTTTTTTCCAAGACAGATGGTAATACACAGCCCAGGCTGGCCTGGACCTTGTGATCCTCCTCCCTCGGCCTCCTCGCTGGTACCTGGCCTAGACTTCAAAAGGGTGTGACAGAGCCAAGGGTGAAGGGGGTGTGGCCACGGGACCCCCAGAACTGTTCCCCCCCACCTTCTGTCTCACCAAGTGAGAAAGTCGTTTCTCAGCAGAGAGCGCCGGACCCAGAGCCAGTAGAGAATCCACACGTGGGCCCAGGGTTGCTGTGCTCAGCCGTCTCGGGACGCCCTGTCCAGCGGCCAGTCCCTCAGGAGCTCTGCCCCGAGCTTTGTTCTGAAGGGGCCGCAAAACACCAAGGACACACAGAACAGGAGGGAAGGCTGTGTGGAAGCGACATCCGGCTCTTTATCCTCCAGTGTGAGTGTGCTTCTAGCTGCAGGTGAAGAGCTGCCGCGCTCCAGGTGTGCTTTGGGCTGGTCCTGGCTGCCGGAGGGTGGGGGGGAGGGAGGGAGGGCGGGCAGGTGCCTGGTGCTGCTGGAAGTCAGAGCCGGCTTGGGGTTCCCGCAGCCTGGGGTGCCCACACTGGCCTCCTGGCCCGGTGCAAACGCCAGCACAGATGGCACTTTGCCAGGGTTTCACGGTGTCTCAGCACTGCACCAGATGCACAGACCATCAGGTAAAAACGCCGTGCTCATCACTCCACTCAAGAGTCAGGTGAAGATCAATGGCAAATCAAGAAAGCGACGGTGAGCAGGGGGAGCAGGGGATCCGCGGGAGACGCTGGCGCCAGCCAGGGAGAGGTGTGAGTCCGGAGGCCACGCCTCCCGCTGCAGAGATGACGGAGCTGGAGCTGGAGCTGGAGCAGACAGCTCTACACTCGGCCACAGGCTGGCGCGTCCTCGTCAGCACTGGGTGCTCAGTCCGTCGGCTCCTGTCCCCGCACGGCCTCTGGGGACACGCAGGCACAGCCACGCGCAGCACACGGGGGCTGAGAGTCCACCAGGTCCGCAGGGTCCTTTCGGGGGAGGGGGCGCAGGGCACACACCCCGCAGGTGTCTTTCTGCCCAGCCCGGCCCGAGCCCCCTCGGGGGCCGGGGTCCACGGGTGGCTGCGCCACCTCTGCAGGGCGAGTCCAGACCTCCCCGGAGGCTTCCGGAGGCTCAGACTGACATCTTCGTGGAATGATGAAAATTAAAAATTACTTGATTATGGAAGTTTCTGATTTATTCCAGACAAAATATTAGCTCTGCCACTAAGAATCACCTCAAAGCAATCACTCTCAGGCCACTCCACGGGGCTGGCGTGGCGGGACGGAGGCAGGCGCGCGCGGGAGGCCCCACGGGGAGCCCGGCGGTCCTAATTCTTCACCTCTGCGGCCTCCTTCTCAGCCTTCTCCTTGGCCTTCTCCTTCTCCCCCACCTTCTCCTCTTTCTCCAGGGTTGCCACAATCTCAGCCACCTGACTGGTGGAGATGTGAACGTCTTCTTTGTCCACCAGGTCAATCACCTGCACACAGGGGAGATGGGGTCCATGCACAGCCCAGACTCTGCCCCTCCCGGCCCTGGCCCCGAGGCATGCCGCGCTCCTCCAGCCGACCTAGGGCTACCATGGCCCTGCCACCCTGTTGGGGGCCTGGGGCCAGTCCTAGATGGGTTCCCAGGGCAGAAAGGTAGCACATGGGGCCCACGCCCCAGCCATGCGGACTGAAGGGGCGGGAAGGTGTCTGACACTGCTGTCCTGTCCTCTTCAACAGGACTGAAACCACAGACACCTGAGACTCCTAACTTCCCAGATTCTTCTCAGAAATGCAAATGATAGGAAGCCACACTTCCCACGCAGGTGGGTCCTGTTCTTCTCCTGGGAGCCCTGGCAGGGACACCCCAGCTCCCGGTCTGTGAGTACGCAGAGAGGGGTCCAGGTGGGGCAAGGGGCGGGGGCGCTGCCATCCACGGCTACCTGTGGCCACAGCCTCCTCTGAGGAGCCCAGGGCCCCAGCAGACAGGCCGAGGGCCGGCAGCCGCTAGGGACACTGTCCCACGAGGGCCGAGACTCAGGGTGAGTGTGGGTCTCGTGGCAGGAGACAGAGTCTGCGGCAAAGCCAGTGCTGTTGGCTCACCAGCACATCTGAAGCTTCAACAAGCGGTTCTGTCTGTTTGTCCTGGCAGTGCTGGGGTGGACACCCCCACTCAGGCAGGCGCGCACCACCGCCTCCCCAGCCCTCCCCGCACGCGCCCTGCCTGGGCTCCACAGCAGCAGCCCCTCCCCACCACGTGGGGCGGCTTCGCAGCCTGCGCGGCGCAGCCTCGCGGAGACCCACCTTCATGAGGTCATTGATGTTGATCTTGCCGTCCTTATTTTCATCCAGGGCTGAGGCCAGGCTCACCAGCTTGTTTTCTGGAATGTCCTTGATTTGCTTCATGGTGTTGATAAGCTCAGTGACACTAATGACATCCTCCCTGGAGAGCATAGCCTACATGTGGCACCAGCCAGTCCCCTGCCCCTGGCCCTGCCCTCATGGCTCCTGCCAGCGCCCTGACTGGCGGCCAGCACACGAGAACTGGGGTCATGTGCATGGATGCACACGGCGATACTCCCACACCCTCTCCTCTGCCAGGCACAGCCACCCAGGACGCTGCCAAGAACAGCACCAGACACCAGGTTCCCGTGTGTCTGTCCCCTGGCCAGGACTGCCATGGACTCTCTGCAGTGGTCCTCAGCCCACGTCTGCCACAAAGCCAACAGTTAATCCAAGAGGTGACATCTGAAGAAGTGGGCCTCGGGTGAGGGGTTGGGCCCCACGGCCAGCCACTTGCCCACAGCATGGAGTCTGTGGTGTGGATGTGTGGGAAGCCCACACAGAACTAGATCCCAGGGGTATGGGGCAGCCACTGCTGTCAAATGGGACATACCGGGAACAGAGGACACGTACTGCTGACTGCACGTCCCGGGGGGAGGCAGGGCTGAGACTAGAACTAAGGGGAAACTATAGGGGAAGGGGAGGAAGGAGATGGATGTGCTTTGCATAGGTCAAGTCCACACTGGGGAAGGAAGACGGGGTAAAGAAGTGAAAAATAGGAGCAAAGGCCCCTGGGCCTCTGGCTGGACCTGGGCCTGTACAGGGGCAGTTAGCCGTGGAGGATGGGCCCTATGGCCCGAGCTCAGACCTCAGCAGAGCGCCTGCCCTGCAGGAGCGGCCGCCTGGGCCACTTACTCACCCTGCAGGCGAGCCCTCGGCTGGGCCCAGCCTGCCAGCCTGATGCCCGGCCTCCAGCTGTGTAATCAGGCCGTCTATCTGCCCGATCATCTGCTGGACCCGCTTCGTTAGTCTCTTGCTGGCTTTGGACTCTTCCACATATTTTTCATCACCAGTCTTTGAAAGTTCTTTCTTGATCTCTTGCAAGTCCTAATGAAAATTATTTGTAGTTGTAAAGTTTTCACATATATACATATATATATTTATATACACATATGTGAATATACATACACATATATACGTGGCTTATGGGCCCTACATTAAATTTAACTTGAAAAAGTAATGAGATGGGCTGGGAAGGTGGCTCAGTGTAGACTGCTTGCCTTGCATGCATGAGGCCCTGGGTTTGATTCCTTAGCACCACAAAAACAGAAAAAGCCAGAAGTAGTGCTGTAGCTCAAATGGTAGAGCACTAGCCTTGAGCTGAAGAGCTGAGGGACAGTGCCCAGGCCCAGAGTTCAGGCCCCACAGCCAAAAATAAAAACAAAAAGAAAAGAAAAAGTAGTGAGCTGATTAAGGTGAATTGGGACTGTAGGTTCGTCTGACTAGCTCACAAGGCCTTGGGTTTAATCCCAGTACTGTAAACACATACTGTAAACACACACACACACACACACACACACACAAAGATAAAACTCGAATTTCAGCCATAGAAAGACAAATCTTCCATATCTCATACAAATTTAGACATATTAATAACAAAGTTTTTTATTTTGTGGGTCGTGGGGCTTGGGCTTGGTTTGTTTTGTTTTGCCAGTCCTGGGGCTTGAACTCAGGGCCCAGGCACTGTCCCTGAGCTGCTTTTGCTCAAGGCTAGCACTCTACCACTAAGCCACATTCCCAGCCCTTGAACTCTGGGCTAGGGCACTGTCCTTGAGCTCTTCAGCTCAAGCTCTAGCACTTGAGCCACAGCACCACTTCTGTTTTTCTGGTGGTTAATTGGAGATAAGGGTCTCATGGGGGGCTGGGAAGGTGGCTCAGTGGTAGAGCGCTTGCCTTGCATGCATGAGGCCCTGGGTTCGATTCCTCAGCATCACATAAGCAAAAAGAAAAAAGCCGGAAGTGGTGCTGTTGCTCAAGTGGTAGAGTGCTAGCCTTGAGCTGAAGAGCTGAGGGACAGTGCCCAGGCCCAGAGTTCAGGCCCCACAACCGGACCCAAAAAAAAAAAAAAAAAAAAGAGTCTCATGGACTTTCCTACCCAAGCTGGCTTGAACCACGATCCTCAGATCTCAGCCTCCTGAGTAGCTAGAATTATAGGCATGGACCACCAGCACCAAAAAAAATACAATTTAAACGTCATCTGTAAGTGCTGGGGTGTAGCTCAGTGGTAGAGCTCTTGCCTAGTATGCACAAGAAGAGAGAGGAAGAGAATAGAGGGACAGAGGGAGCCAAGGAAACCACAATGAAAGCAGGAAGTCTGTCAGAAGGAATGGTGAGGCTGGGGACATGGCTCAGTGGTAGAGTGCTTGCCTAGCATGCAACACAGAAAACAGAATTCACCACAAAAACAGAAAAAGCCAGAAGTGGTGCTGTGGCTCTAGTGGTAGAGCGCTAGCCCTAAGCAAAAAGAAGCTCAGAGACAGTGCCCAGGCCCTGAGTTCAAGCCCCAGGACTGGCAAAAATAAACAAAGAATGAAGAAAAAGATTTCATTCATCAATGAGTAAACATACAGGCACTACCACGGCATTCAGACCTCTCTACTGTGGGCTTGGCAGGTGTCATTTACCAAGAAAGAGGCCCAACTAGAACCACTGTGGAAATTTGAAGTAAAATCTGTTTTCCTTTTTTTTCTTCCTTTTTTCTACTTTTTTTTCTCTTTTTTTCCTCATGCTGAAACTCTAACCCAGAGTCTCACACATGCTAGACAAGTGATCTATACTGAACTATATATCCCAGCCAAAATTCAGCTTGATTTTCAAGTTGACTTGTAACTTGATTTTCCTTTTTCTTTTTTTGGTCGGTCATGGGGCTTGAACTCGGCCTGGGCACTGTCCCTGCCCTCTTCAGCTCAAGGTGAGTGCTCTATCGCTTGAGCCACAGTACCACTTCAGTTTTCTAGTGGCTTATTGGAGATAAGAGTCTCACAAACTTTCCTGCCTGGGCTGGCTTTGAACTGGGACCTCGGATCTCAGCCTTTTGAGTATGTAACTTGATTTTCTGTTCACATTTCTTCTGGCTAGCTTTTCCCACACTTAAGTATCACTCAAGTATTTTGGTTGCTGAGAGGCTTTCATTCTGCACTTCACAGAACCGGGCTGACCAGCCGCCCGCTCCTAGCTGCCTGAGTGGAAACCTTCCACCCCACAGCTTCTCCCTCACCTCATTGTAGTCCTGGACGTCCACCTTCAGCAGCTCCAACTCTTCCTTCTCCTTTATCAGGGACTGCTTCTGCTCCTGCAGTTTGGAGCAGGCATCGCTGAGAATGTCAATTTCCTCCTTGGTTATTTCCTCTTCCTGGAAAGAAGTAACAAGCAGACAGTGAAGGCATAACAAGTTTGTTGTTGTTGTTGTTGGTCATGGGCCTGAACTCTGGGCCTGGGCGCCCTCCCTCAGCTCTTCAGCTCAAGGCTAGCGCTCTACCACTTGAGCCACAGTGCCACTTCCAGCTTTTATCTTTTTGCTTATGTGGTGCAGAGGAATCGAACCCAGGGCCTCATCCATGCAAGGCGCGTGTTCTACCGCTGCTTTTTTAAGGGTCTCACTTCTTGCTTGGCACCCCTTTAGCCCTCGGCAGGGCTGGGGTCACAGACAGGTACCACGACACCCAGCTTCTCCCAATGGAAACGGCTGGCCTCGAATCTCAATCCTCGAAATGTCAGTCTCCCACATGGCCGAGGGTGCCGGCAGCACACCACCTCCCCGCTCCAGGTTTAGAAGGGGAACCTCTCAAACATTTATGTCCAAGCTGATCTCTGTGATTCTCCTGACTTCCTTCTTAGCAGGTAGAATTACACTTGTGAGTCACGGGCACCCAGCCTTTTGCTACTTTTCTAAGGACCATCTTGGTTATTTTAGATCCTCTGAATCTCACTCCAACATAAATTTTAACATGAGCTTGTCAATTTCAAGAATAACCCCCCTGCTGGAATTCACACTTAGCCTGCCGAGTCGGGGAAGGAGCGGCTCAGAGCAGCTCAGTCCCTCAGTTCGCTGAGGCCTTCATTTATCTCACCACTCCTATTTGGACACAGCTCTTAGATGCAATCCTCTCTGGGGATAATACCGGAAATGATACAACTGACCAACGGTCCTCACACTGTTGTGAATGGACTTTCACTCTCCTCTCCAGCCACACTGAGGGAGCGAGGTCATGGTGTGGTGTGGGCGTGGTGGTGGTGTGGGCTGGGCTGCGGTGGGCGTGGCGGCGGTGTGGGCTGGGCTGTGGTGGGTGTGGCGGCGGTGTGGGCTGGGCTGTGGTGGGTGTGGATGTGTGGTGGGCGTGGCTGCAGTGTGGGTTAGGACTGTGATGTGGAGGGGGGGCTGTATGGGGCCTGGCCATTTTGTAGGTAGGCTGCGGTGTGGACATGGCTGGGGTGTAACTGTGTGGCCTGGTGTTACCAGGTTTCCGGAGTGGGCAGGCTGAGGTATGGGTGTGAAGGCTGTGTGGGCAGAGCCGTGGTGTGGGCAGGCTGAGGTGTGGGTGTGAAGGCCGGGCCAGGGCATGGAGGACGACCAGCCCCTATGCTTCCAGGAGCACAGAGAGGTCCCTGCATGTGCTACTGTGGAGACTTCAAAATGGGAGTTGGCTTGTTTTCCCCATGGTGCCTGTACAGCCATTCTTATGGGACAGCTGCATTCCGGTCACTGGTTCATGAAGAACGTTCTCATCTATGCTGGTCACACCTGGGCATGTGCTGGAGCCAGAGCTCCTCAGCACTGAGCTGGCCTGCCCCTCCAATCCGGGCTTACCAGCCCCGGGAACGTGGGCCCCAAGTCTGTGGGCCATCCACCTTGCAAGCGGCAGGCTGCCTGGAGTCAGCTCCAGCCCTGACCTGGCAGCCATCTGCTTTCTCAGGACTTTGGCCCTGCTGTTACACATCTGCTGGGCTTATCCTAGGCAGAGCCAGTCTCTACAAAGAAGCCACTTGGTCCTGCCCCATGCTCTCCCTGCCCTCCTCACACTGCGCAGAAGAGCTTCCGCTTACCCCTGCAGCCCAGGAGAGCAGGCTGGACCTGGCTTTTAACTACAGGCCTGGCCAAGGCACCCAGACCACCAGAGGCAGCACTCAGGGCTCACCGCCCCAGGCCCTCTCCTGAGCTCCCACCCAGCCAGCCTGTGCTCTTCCAGAGGCTCATGTCCTCAAGGCATCCTTTGGGACTGCCAGGTTGAGACCTTCCTGGGCAGAATCTCCCACTCAGGACCCTCGGCTGTTTGGCTCCCAAACCGCCTCCATCCGCCCACGGATCGATCCCCAGCTAGATCCACTCCTGTGTGATGTGAGCTACAGGATCCCCAGGGCAGAAGCATCCAAGAGTGTCCAGGGGTGGAGACGCCACCCACACTCAGAGCTCCCAGGATGTACTATGTCCCCAGCCCTGGGCCCTCAGAGGTCCCATGTCCCGTCATCCAGCAGGTGATACCGGAACAGGCTTCTGTAGAGGAAGCTCTCCTGAAGGACAGCCTCCATTCTGCTGCTGACAAGGGCCTAGAGGTCCCCTAGAAGAAGGGCGGCCGCACCCGCAGCTGCATAGGCCCTAAGCACCTTATACCACACCCCGCTCCCCACACCTCTGCCCCCTGGCCAACCGTCCCTCCTCAGAAGCTGTGCCCCCAGCCCAGACCTGCCCTGCGGGACACGTCACTCACCTTCAAGCCCTCCAGCACAGGGGCGGTGTCCTTCAGGATCTCTGAGGGCAGAATGATGTCGGGCACAGCCTGTGCCTCCACCACTGGCTTCACTGGGGCAGAAGCTTCAGCTACCTCTGGCTCCAGATCCTTCTGAAACCCAACAAGAACTACTGTCACCTTGCGCAACACGGGGCTTTGCAGAGGGGGTCAGAGCACCCCATCCCATCTTATCTTCCTCAACACCACGCCACATGCAATGCAGTGCGGCTGGTGGTCTGCGGACAGTCCCAGAGGGCAGGGGGCCCCAGTGGCAGCACAGCCGCCTGGGTCCAGGGAGCCAGCACTGGGCGTCAGAGGCCCCACCCTCAGAGCAGGGCCACCAAGTGGGGTTCCATCGGTCTTCCCTGGGTGCTAGGCTGGCCCTCCCTCCATTCATTCTCTGAGAGTGCCCTTCCTCCCTGGGACATTCTGACCACTGCAAAAGCCAAGCTAGGACAGACTGCGTTTCCATGGCCTGCAGGGAGGCTCCATGGGGGCTGCGCGTGGAGGGCAGCTCAGGCACTCACCGCGGTTTCCACAGCTCTTTCCAGCTCCTTCTCTCGGTGCTCCTGCTGAATGGCAGCCTCCTCCTGCAGCGTGGCCTCCAGCTTTGCCTTGTTGTCCACCTGCTCGCCTTCCACCTCAGCCACTTTCACCTGTGCTTCCTTGGCCTTCAGAAGAGGGGCCTGTGGTGAGTGCAGGGCCCCTACCTCTCCCCCACCTAGGGAGCACCGCCACTGGCCTACCTCTCCTCCCCTCCCCTCCCCAGCACCACCACCGGGCCTGCCTCTCCCCCACCTACACAGCACCTCCACTAAGCCTACCACCCTTCCCTTCCCAGCACCACTGGGGCCCTATGTAGAGACAGGATGCACTGTTGAGGTGCTGCCCCATGGGCTGGGACGTAAACAGAGGCTCCCATGGGACCTCCATGCCCAGTTGATAAAGGGTAGTACAGTCTGCACTGGCAAGACTCAAACCCATCAACATGAGGCAGGGTCCGGAGGGGTCAGTATTCCAGAGCCTGCGCTGCTGGAGGAACCAGGCCAGCAGAGTGAGGGGACACTGAGACAATCAGTGCTGACAGGCAGGATGGCAGACAGAGGTCTCCTGGAGAAGTGAGCACCAGGGGGTCCCCAGCAATGCATACCACAATCTCCGGGAGGGTCTGCAGAGTGGACGTGAGCTGGTCGGCAGGGGAGAGGGTGTCGGGGAGGTACATGGCCCGGGACAGGATGAGCAGTGACGTGGGGATTTCATGGTGCAGGTGCAGGTCCAGCCACTGGAAGCAGAATGAACATGATGGGCCATGGGCCTGCCCTGCCCTGCGGGTCCCACGAGTTGCCCGGGGTTTCAGCCCTAACCCCCTGCGGCTGCTCTGACTTGAGCGAGACAGGGAGTCTGTCAGCATCAAGGGCAGCAGTAAATCTCTGAAGATGGTGTTTTGAGCTGCGACGGCCTGTGTGTGGAGTTGATGATAACCAGTTCGGTAGGCTATCCCGCGAGGGCAGGGCTGCGGGGTCCCAAGAAGAGCAGGCGTGCTTGTCCCAGCACTGGGATGGAGTCGGGTCTCATGGCCCGTACTCTTCAGGCCTTCTGATGCACAGGGTGGGTGGCTGTGAGGGCATCCAACACCCACCCCTCTGTCACTGGACGCCGGCCTGAGGACCCTCATGCTGAGGCAGGCTGCTGTGGGGAGCCCACCATTTGCAGTGCACCTGCAGAGAGGGCCACGGGCAGTGGGGAGAGGGGTGACCAGCAGACTGCTCTTGGTACTCAAATCTTCCCAGGCCACAGGTAAGACACATCGTCAAAATGTGACCATGCCCAAGGACGTCAACACAGGTCCTAACATGCCCACAGGTGAGCAGGGGGAGAGCAAACTGGAACAACCAACGGTGAGAACTCACAGGGCGCCGGTGGCTCACGCCTGTCATCCTAGCTACTCAGGAGGCTGAGATCTGAGGATCGCGGTTCAAAGCCAGCCTGGGCAGGATTGTCCATGAGACTTTTTTTTTGTTTTTGTTTTTTTGTCAGTCTTAGGGCTTGAACTCTTTGTCAGCTCAAGGCCAGTGTTCTACCATGAGCCACAGTGCCACTTCCAGTTTTATTTTGTTGTTGTTTTTTTTTCCTGGTAGTTAACTGGAGATGAGTCTCACGGACTTTCCTGCCTGGGCTGGCTTTGAATGGCGATACTCAGCCTCCTGAGTAGCTAGGATTACAGGCGTGAGCCACCAACACCCAGCTCCATGAGACTCTGATCTCCCGTAAACCAGAAGTGGTGGTGTGGCTCAAGTGGGAGAGCACTCGCCTTGAGCTGAAGAGCTGAGGGACAGCGCCCAGGCTCAGAGTTCAAGCCCCACAACCAACCAAAAAAAAAAACAAAAAAACAAGCCGGGTCGGTGGCTCACGCCTGTAATCCTAGCTACTCAGGAGGCTGAGATTTGAGGATCGAGGTTCAAAGCCAGCCCAGGCAGGAAAGTCCACAAGACTCTTATCTCCAATAAACCACTAGAAAACCGGAAGTGGCGCTGAGGCTCAAGCAGTAGAGCGCTCACCTTGAGCTGAAGAGCGCAGGGACAGCGCCCAAGCCCAGAGTTCAAGCCCCATGACCGACCAAAACAAAAAAACAAAAACAAAAAAACAAAACTTAAATGTTCTTTGTCAAAAAGAAAAAAAAAAGCCAATGCAGGTGCTCACAATTATAATCCTAGCTTCTCAGGAGGCTGAGACTTGGAGGATTGCAGTTCTAAGCCAGACTAGGCAGAAAAGCTCAGATTTGTCTCCAAAATTTAAAAAAAAAAAAGGAAAAAGTAGAACTGGCACCAGGCACGTGTGACTCACACTCATAAGCCTAGCTATTCAGATGTTGAGATCTGAAGATCACAGTTCAAAGCCAGCCTGGGCAGGAAAGTCCATGAAACTCATCTCTCCAATGAACCACCAGAAACCTAGGAGGGCAGCTATGTCTCAAGTGGAAGGGTGCTAGCCTTGAGCACAAAAAAAAGCTCAGGGATACTTCAGGCCCTGAGTTCAAACCCCAGGACTACCACAAAAAAAAGTAAGGCTGGAGAGGTGGCTCAAATGGCAGTGTGCCAAATGAACATAAGGTCCCAAGTTCAAACCACAGTATTACACAGAAACTACAAAACCAAAAAAAAAGGAACGGTGTAACAAGACCGTAGGCATCCTGCCTGTGGCCGTCTTGCAGTGTTGTTCTAGCAGGTGCTCACCGCCAGCCCTCAGAGCACGCACCTGCTTCAGCTGGCCCCGCAAGCGGTCTTCTGTCACGCCGAGGGCCCGCATGCCCCGTGCCCGGCAGGCTGCCTGTAGCTCCTTGACGTTCAAGCTGTCCACCCCTTCCTCAGAGATCAGCTGGGAGAAAAAGTCAACCAATTATGACTTTTTTTTTCCGGTCGTGGAGCCTGAACTCTGGGCTTGGGCGCTGTCCCTCAGCTCTTCAGCTCAAGGCTAGCGCTCTACCAGTAGAGCCACAGCACCATTCCCAGCTTTTTTCTGCTTTATGTGGTGCTGAGGAATCAAACCCAGGGCCTCATGCATGCGAGGCAAGCACTCTACCACTGAGCCACCTTCCCAGCCCCAATTACTACTTTTTAAAGTCACTAGAAGCTATGGCACCAAGGTTATCTTGGGAGAGAAGGTCTGGAATCTGAACTAAGGCCTTGTGCTTACCTGGAAGCACTACCACCTGAGTCAGTCCTCCAGCCCTTTTTTGTTTTAATCACTTTTTAAATAGGGTCACTTGTTTCTTGCCTGGGCTGGCTTTGGACTATAATCCTCTGTGTTTCTATCTCTTGGGTCAGTGGATCGTAGCTCCTGCCACCATTCCCAATTTGTTTATTAGGTTAAAAAGAAAAAAATTCTGGGGCTGGGAAGGTGGCTCGGTGGTAGAGCGCTTGCCTTGCATGCCTGAGGCCCTGGGTTCGATTCCTCAGCACCACATAAGCAAAAAGAAAAAAGCTGGAAGTGGCGCTGTGGCTCAAGTGGTAGAGAGCTAGCCTTGAGCTGAAGAGCTGAGGGACAGCGCCCAGGCCCAGAGTTCAGGCCCTACAACCGACAAAAAAAAAAAAAAAAAAAAAAAAAAGGCTTTGATGATGGCTTAAAGCCAGTCAGGCCTTGAGATTCTATCTCCAAAGTAATGGGTGAAAAGCTAGACTGGAAGCTTGGTTCAAGCTTGCTTATTAGCTTGTGAGCTAAGCAAGCTGAGCAAGCTCAAATCCCTGAGTTCAAAACTTGATAGTAGGGAGTGGAAAAAAAAGAGGGAGTGCAAGCCAGCCACACTTGCCCAGGGTTCTACTTGCAGCCTCCCTCCTCTAACTCCTGAGAGTCCTTCTCCTACCACTCCGCTTCTGGGCCAAAAGCTTGTTCTGGCTGCCCATGAAGGAGCGCACTGCTGACAGTTCTCACGTGCACTCACGTGAGAATGTCCCGGGGTCCTCACTCCAGGGGCACGCAGGCTGGGATGGAGATCTAGGCTGACACTTCTTTCCTTTCTGCACATGAAAAAAGTCCTTTGGCTTCTTTGGGTTCCTGGTATTCTTTGAAGAAGCCAAGGCCATCAGGCCATTTTCCCTACAGGGGGACACTGTCCCTCCTCTCATTGCTCTTTAAGCGGTTTCTCTTAGCTGGGTACAAGTGCTCACACATGTAATCTTAGCTCCTTGGGCAGCTGAGATCAGAGGTTAAGCCTCAGGTTAGAAGCCATCTAGTCAAACAACTCTATCTCTAATTAACCAGGAGAATTCACCACAAAAAAGTTCTCAAACTCCATCTCAACAGAAGACGCTGAGCACGCAGCATGTGCCTATCTATGAAGGAAAGCTTCAGACAGGACTGTGGTCCGGGCGCACGTGCAAAACAAAGCAAGACTCTCTCAAAACAGCCAGTGTGAAAAAGTGCTGGAGGTGTGGCTCAGCTTTAGGAAACTGGCCTACCAAGGTCAAGGCTCTGAGCCCAAACCCCAGGACTGACCGAAAAAGAAAACACAAAGGGGAAAACCAAAGAACCGTGTCCGCCTGGCTTCACTCCCATGGCAGGCTCACCTTGTCATCAGCCTTTATGGACCGCAGCCTCATGGTGAGCTGGAAGCGCAGGAAGCTGTTGGTGCCGATGGACTGGAGCTCCAGCAGCTTGCACAGTGCCACCAGCTGAGGCCGCGTCAGGTTGTCCATGGTCAGCTCATCCTCAAACAACTTGGAAAAACGCATGATTTCCTCATTGCTGGGCCGCTCCCCCGTCTCTCGGATCTGTGGGAGAACCGACAGTCAGCTGCTGGGTCAGAGCTGAGGCCCCCCTCCAATCCCAGCCTCAGGACCCACTCGGAAGTGAAAAAAGGGGCCGCCACCCCCACAGGCCGCCTCCCCTACAGGCTCCTGCAGAGATCAACACCACAACACTCAGCACACGCTGGGCCCGCAGGGGATGCTGCACACACAGCACAGGGGCCTGGGCAGCACTCAGGCTGGTGCCCCCTAGAGGAGGTCCCAGTGTCTGCTCTACACCAGGACTTGGGGGCTCACTAGTGACCTCAGACCACACGCATGTGTGTGCATATGGTTCCCTTGACGGGATCCGAGCACAGGACAGAGAGTGGCCAGCATGGGCCTGGCCTGGGAGCGCCAGACTGTTAAGTACAGCCAAAAATAGCAAAGCGAAGAGCAGCCACAAGGCCCCGTGGTACTGCACAATCCTGTGCGGGCTGCGCTCAGGGACACACAGCACCTTCTGAAAGAAGGCCGAGAAGTCTTTGGTGGCGCTGCCCTTGGCCGCCTTGTTCTTCAGAGCCATCTCCTCGATGGTGTCCTGAAGGAACTTGGCCAGCTCCAGCTTCACTCGCAGCTCCTTCTTCAGCCTCTCCTCCTGTAGGGCACAACAAGAAGGCTGCATCCACCCTGGCGCCCGCCCTCCCACCCCGCTCAACCCAAGTGAAGAGACTGCACCTCCACGGGACACGCACCTCCTCCTTAGTGAACACTACCCAGAGGAACATTTCACAGAGCAAAATAGAAATGTGAAATGCTCGCTTCATGACTTCAAAAATCTTTGTGTAACTCCCTAGAGCAGGGGCTGCTAAACGTGTTCCCCACAGGTCAGACAGTGTTATTTCTTTTTTTTTTTTTGGTCTGGTTGTGGGACTTGAACTCTGGGCCTGGGCGCTGTCCCTCAACTCTTCAGCTCAAGGCGAGCACTCTACCACTTGAGCCACAGCGCCACTTCCAGTTTTCTGGTGGTTTATTGGAGTTAGGAGTCTCACGGTCTCTCCTGCCCGGACTGGCTTTGAACCGCGATCCTCAGATCTCAGCCTCCTGAGTAGCTAGGATTACAGGCGTGAGCCACCAGCGCCCGGCCGACAGTGCTATTTCTGAACTTTGCAGGTTATGGATTGGCTGGGGCCTCACAAAAGTATCAATCTACCAGTGTGTGTATGTGCATGTACGTGTGTGCATAGGTGTGTACACACACATAGAACTACATTTTAAAAGCCGGGCGCTGGTGGCTCACGCCTGTAATCCTAGCTACTCAGGAGGCTGAGATGTGAGGATCACCGTTCAAAGCCAGCCCAGGCAGGAGAGA